CCCACGGGGAGGAAGGCGGGGCCTGGGAGGCCCGAGGGGAGAAGGGCGGGGCCTGGGAGGCCCCGTAGGGAGGTGGGCGGCTCCTGGGCGGCCCGATGGCTGGGCGGGGCCTATGTGGCGTAGGGGCGGGGCCTCAACGGCCCCGAGGGGAGATGGACGGGGCCTGGGCCAGGTTCGGGCCGGGGGCGTAAAGGAGAGAACTTGCCCTTCACAACTGGGAGAGGGCGGGGCCGGCCGACACCTGTGGGTTTCTCATCCTAGCTCTTAGCGCCTTTGTTTTTCAAGTTTGGAAGGCCAGATTTGCCAGGAAGCCTGAGTGATAATTCAAAAGCCCCTGATATTGTCTGCAATGGGGATGCAAACTACAATGTGAAATGCAAAGCTCTGCCTAAGCGGAAGGTACAAGTTCATGCTGACAGCCCACAGAACAGAATAAAAATCCTCACCCTTTCTATTCCCCAATCACTCAGGAGGGAGAGTCCACCCTGTGCTCAGCTTCAGAGACTTCCCTAAGGCCATCGCCTGGAATGCAGGAGTGCTCAGGCCCGGGAGGAGTGAGGTCACCACCTGCTGCTTGAGCACAGCGTGGATACGGGCACGAGGACTGGAGCCTGAGTCTCAGCTACTCTGGAAGCATCGGCGGGAGAAACGCTCAGCCTGGGTGTCCATACAAGCCTGGGCGACACAGTAACATCCCCTTCCACCTCACTCTATTTCTCTTCTCTCTCTCATTATTTTTTGACTTTAAAAAATAAAATGTTGCCGGGCGCGGTGGCTCAAGCCTGTAATCCCAGCACTTTGGGAGGCCGAGGCGGGTGGATCACGAGGTCAAGAGATCGAGACCATCCTGGTCAACATGGTGAAACCCCGTCTCCAGCTAAAAATACAAAAAATTAGCTGGACATGGTGGTGCGTGCCTGTAATCCCAGCTACTCAGGAGGCTGAGGCAGGAGAATTGCCTGAACCCGGGAGGCGGAGGTTGCGGTGAGCCGAGATCGCGCCATTGCACTCCAGCCTGGGTAAAAAGAGCGAAACTCCATCTCAAAAAAAAAAAAAAAAAAAAAAAAAAAAATGTTTAATGGTGTGATATAAGGATTCAACATTATTCTCTTCCGTACGGATATCCAGTTGCCTCAGCAAATTTGTGGAATAGATCTTTACTTTCTTATTTTTTTTCTTTCTTGCCTGTGTAAATAAATCATCTTTTTTTTTTAATTTACATTTTTCTTTTTTTTTTTTAAGACGGGGTTTCACCATGTTGGTCAGGCTGGTCTTGAACTCCCGACCTCAGGTGATCCACCCACCTTGGCCTCCAAAGTGCTTGGATCACAGGCGTGAGCCACCACGCATGGCCTAATTTACTTTTTTCTCTTCTATTTTTCTGAGATGGAGTCTCACCCTGTTGCCCAGCCTGGAGTGAAGTGGCACGACCTTGGCTCACTGCAACTTCTGCCTCCCTGCTTGAAGCAATTTTCCTACCTCAGCTTTCGGAGTAGTTGGCATTACAGGCGTGTGCCACCATGCCTGGCTAATTTTTGTATTTTTGGTAAAGATGAAGTTTCACCATGTTGGCCAAGCTGATCTAGAATTCCTGACTTCAAGTGATCTGCCTGCGTCAGACTTGTAAAGTGCTGAGATTACAGGCGTGAGCCACCGTGCCTGACCCAAGAAATACTCTTCACTTTTTAAACGTTGAGACAATATAATTGAAAACAAAAATATCTTCCTGAAAATGAGAAATCATCTCCACAATAGAGATAATTATTAATAGGTAAGCCTTAGAACAGAATGTGATGGGTAATAGAGGCAAACAGCTAACAGACTGAAAAGAGGGAAAGAAACTTCACTGTTCTAAACAACCCATTAAGTACATGTCATCCAGATAGACACTAACCAGTCCTCAGGTAAGAGGACTTACCACCACCGTTGGTCACACATGTTCATCCTGGCTCTACTTGGTAATGGAGGTGACCGTCTGTGTCAGCTCATTAGCTTCATCCAGAGGGAAAGGGGAAAATCCAAGTTTTGTGTTTTTTTTAATGAGTTTCACAACATGGTAATAGGTGCCCTCTCTGGTAAGACTCCTACATTCTGACAGAAATTGATATTAGAAGTAAATAATAGGCCGGGTGGGGTGGCTCAAGCCTGTAATCCCCGCACTTTGGGAGGCTGAGGCGGGTGGATAACGAGGTCAAGAGATCTAGACCATCCTGGTCAACATGGTGAAACCCTGTCTCGACTAAAAATACTAAAAATTAGCTGGGCATGGTGGCGCATGCCTGTAATCCCAGCTACTCAGGAGGCTGAGGCAGGAGAATCACTTGAACCCAACAGGCGGAGGTTGCAGTGAGCTGAGATGGCATCACTGCACTCTAGCCTGGGCGACAGAGCAAGACTCTGTCTCAGGATAAATCGAAAAGACAAAAAAAAAAAAAAAGAAAGAAAAGAAAAGAAAAAGAAAAAGTGGTCTTCAGTTTGGTGCTGGTGCACCGGGAATTCCAGGGGTGTTGCCTGTGCTAGAAGACCTCTGGTTTTGGGAGAAGAAAAGATAGGAGAGACCAAACATGCAATTTATGAGAAACTAATCTTTTGTTTCAAATGCAGGAACATCAGTGGTGGAATGTTAAGCAGGGCAGCCCCTACATTTCACAAGGCAACAGGCCAACATCTTTCTGGGGGGCGGTTCTGATTTCTTAACAGTGCAATGGGAAGGCATTTATTTAAGGCAGGCATACCCAAACTTTTTACACAGGGGGCCAGTTCACCGTCCCTCACACCGTTGGAGGGCCGTCACATACTGTGCTCCTCTCACTGACCACCAATGAAAGAGGTGCTCCTTCCTGAAGTGCGGCAGGGGGCCGGATAAATGGCCTCAGGGGGCCGCATGTGGCCCTCGGGCCGTAGTTTGGGGACACCTGATTTAAGGGTAACAGAGTTTCTAGGACTAATTTAGTTGGGTAACTTTCTTGAGAGTTTGGTTCATCCTCTCTACTCTTAAGGAAGATGAATGTCAAGGAATATGATATTCCCATTTTATGTTTAATACTGGAGCCAACTTTTTAATGACAAGTGCAGTAAAATAGGTTCCATTGTCTGAATCAATATTTTCTGTTAGCACTAACTTAGGTACGGCATGTTCAAGTAATGCTTTAACCACATCACTAGCAGTTGCACTCGAGAAAGGGATAGCCTCTACCCAATGAGTAAAATGGTCTACTATTAATAAATATTTTAGCACACTGATTTGGGGCATTTCAGTACAATCAATTTGAACACTTCGAAATGGTCTTAATCCTGGATTTCTTTCACCAAGGGATAATTTCCTCAAGGCCTGTTTATTCATCTTTGCACTTATTAAACAACTATCTGTGACTAACCTAGCTAAAGTATAAATTCCAATGCAACCATAAACTCTGAGAACCGTTACACATAACTTCAGGCCCCCAATGAGTTCCTTGATATAAGTGGAAGAGGACTTCTCTTTCTGCAAGGTTATCTCCCTGCCCCTCAAAGAAGTCTTTTTAATATCCTGACACATGTATAATTGCTATTTCCTCTGGAAGCTGGAGGTTGTTTAAATCATGAACAATTAATGTCTCATGAGCCAGGTTTTGGCCCTTACTATTAATAAGACCCCGTTCTGCCTAAATTTTCCCAAATGTATGAGCTACTCCAAAGGCGTACTTAGAGTCAGTATAGATGGTTCCCTCTGGATTCTGTAAGCATTTTAAGGCTTGGCTGAGCACAAATAGCTCACAAGTTGTGAAGACCAACTCTTAGGTAGTCTTCGTGATTCTGTTTCTTCAAGGTTTTCTCCATCAATTACTGCATACCCATTGTGACTATCTGTTGACCATCCTGGAGAAGCCATCTATAAATACATGTTGCCTTCTTCTAAACGGGGCCTCCACTAAATCTGACGAGACTTTTTACATGACAGTCAATGAAACCAAGACATAAGCGTTCCCTTTTTAAAAGTGGACTTCCTGTTAAGAAACCTGCTGGGTTGAGGGAGTGACTCTAATGTCACTTAATGCTTGATGGGTTAATATACTCATTGCATTTGAAACAATTATCTCAAGAATGAATTTTCTAATATTTTGAAAGGAGTGACCTCAGACTGAAGACCTTGCCACACTTATGACATTGTTAAGATTTCTGTCCAGTATGGATTCTCTGATGTCTAATGAAGTGTGAACATGAAGTAAAGGCTTTGCCACAATCATCACACTAGTGAGGTTTTTCTCCTATATGAAGTCTATGCTTTGCATAAGATGAAACGTGACTGAAGGCCTTGCCACAATTATGACATTTGTAAGGTTTCTCTCCAGTATAACTTTGCCGACGAATTGCAAGGTTTGAACGATGTCTGAACTATTTGCCACATTTCTTACACTTGTAGGATTTCATTATGGATTCTTCAATGATTTGGTATGGCTGTAGTGTTACTGAAGACTGTGTGGCAATCATTACATCTGTGAAGTTTCCCTATACCATGGATTGCTGGATAAGTGTTGACTGTGCACTAAAGGCTTTGCCACACTCATTCCACTTGTCAGTTTCTCTCCAGTATCAATTCAAGTACGTTGTGCCAGGTGTGAATCCTACTGAAAGCCTTCTCACAAAACTTGTATTTGTTTGACTTCTCTCCAGCATGAACGATCCTATGTCTTTAAAGGTGTGATTTGGGCCTGAAAATTGTTACATTCTTCATATTAATTAGTTTCTCCCCAGCAAGCTGTATATCATGACGTGCAAGTTTGATTTTTGATTAAAAAATTTTCCACATTCAAGTTTTCTCTCCAGTATGAAGTCAATGACAACATGGCAGCTTTGCTTTTCAATTAAAAACATTGCCACATTCATTACACTTGTTAAGGTTTCGCTCCAGTATGAAGTATATGATGACATGAAAGGTTTGATTTTTGATTAAAAACCTTGCCACACTCACTACAATTTTTTTTTGTTTATTTTTTACATGACCACTGCAATATACACTTCTAAGGTTTCTCTCCAGTATGAAGTCTACGATGGAATACAAGCGACGACATTTGACTGAAGGTTTTGCCACATTCATTACACTTGTAAGGTTTCTCTCCAGTGTGAATTCTAGTATGTTGTGCCAGGTGTGAACCACGCCTGAAAGCCTTCTCACAAACCTTACATTTGTATGGTGACTCGCCAGTATGAATTCTTTTATGTCTTTCAAGGTCTGATTTCCATCTGAAAACTTTGTCACATTCTTCACATTTGTAAGGTTTCTCTCCAGTATGAACTCGAAGATGACTTGAAAGGTTTGATTGTTGATTAAAAAACTTGCCACATTCATTACACTTGTAAGGTTTCTCTCTAGTGTGAGTTCTAGTATGTTGTGACAGGTGTGAATGACGCCTGAAAGCCTTCTCACAGACCTCACATTTGTATGATTTCTCTCCATGAATTTTCCAATGTCTTTTAAGGTCTGATTTCCAAGTAAAATCTTTCTTACATTCTTCACATTTGTAAGGTTTCTCTCCAGTATGAAGTCTATGATGACTTGCAAGGTTTGATGGTTGATTAAAAGCCTTGCCACATTCATTACACTTGTAAGATTTCTGTCCTGTATAAATTGCCTTAGGAATTACAAGGGCTGAATGTCGACCAAAGGTACTGCCACATTCATTACACTTGGAAGGTTTCTCTACAGTATGAAGTGTACAATGATGTGTAAGGATTGACTGCCGACTGAAGTTCATGCCACACTCATTACACTTGTAAGGTTTCTCACCAGTGTGATATCGACCATGGCATGCAAGGTATTGCTTCCAATTAAAGACTTTTCCACATACATCACATTCATACTGTATCTCTCCTAAGTGGATTATCTGATGCTTCCCTAACAGTGAGCTACAATTAAATGCTTTGCCACTCTCATTACATGGGAAAGATTTTTCTCTCATGTGTACTTTCTGTTGCTGTATGACTAGTGAAGAATGGAGGAAATTATTTTCATAGTTATTAGAAATATGGGGTTGGGGCACACAAGAAATTCTTTGGGATGTTAAAACTGAGGAAGCATCGTTGCTAGACTTCTCTACTTGATTATCAATTTTCCCTTCAGTCTGAAATATGCGCATTTCAGCGAGATGTGAATGAAAGCTTAATCCAAGCTCATCTTTAATAGGCTTGTTTCCAGCATGCCTTTGATCATATCGCTCTATACTACTAGTCAACTTTCTTATTTTTGTCATAGGAGTTTCATGGCTATTTCTCTCCTCTTTTTCCCACTGAAACTCAAAGTCATAAGTATCTTTCTCAATTTCCTGGAAGCAAAAGTCTCCAATGTGATGACTTTCATGTGCTTCCAATCTCCCCGTGTGCAACATTTCTGTATTGCCCTGTGCTGTTAATGAGAACTTCTTCATCATGCATTTGGAAGAGATATCTACAAAATATAAACCCCAATAAGTTTGCAATTGAGTACAGAGGATAAATAATACTCAAATGTGCAAATATTACACAGAAAACAAAACTTATATTAAGCTTCCCAAACACGAGCTTCACAGTTTAGGAACACAAAACGAGTGAGATTCTTTACTAAATAAAGGTTGATTACATGTATTTCAAGTCTTTTCCACAGAAGCCTATTCCAATATCATGACCACACAGTGACAGGGCACAAACATCTGTAAGCCTCAGGTGAGGAGTATTTTTCCACTGTGACCCTAAAGTGTATAACAATTGGCAAAAAACGTATCACTGTCTCATCAATAAATTGAAAAATTTACAGTCCTCATATTTATAGCATATTTACTGTATACAAATAAATTGTAAAGAACTATACAGTATACAATACAGTACTGATAAATAATCCATAACAAGCTGATGTAAGGATGACCAAAATCAGTGGAAATTTTGTATTGTGAAACAATCATAGCACTGAGAAGATATGAAATGATTACAAAAATTGGCCAGGCCTGGTGGCACATGCCTGTAGTGCCAGCTACTCCAGAGGCTGACGCACAAGGATCACTTGAACCTGGAAGGCAGAGGTTTCAGTGAACCGAGATTGCATCACTGCACTTAATCCTGGGTGACAAAGTCAGACTCCATCTCTATTTTCTTTGAGACAGAGTCTCAGTCTCTCGCCCAGGCTGGAGTGCAATGGCAAGATCTCAGCTCACTGCAACCTTCATCTACCAGTGTAAAGAGATTCTTCTGCCTCATCCTCTGACATAGCTAGAATTACAAACGCCCACCACAGCACCTGGCTAATTTTTGTATTTTTTGTTGTTGTTGTTGTTTTTAATTTTTGTATTTTTAGTAGAGACAAGATTTCACCAACTTGGCCAGGCTGGTCTCGAAATCCTGACCTCATGATCCCCCTGCCTTGGCCTCCCAAACTGTTGGGATTATAGGCATGACCCATTGCGCCTGACAGAGACTCCATATCAAGAAAAAAGGAAAAGAAAAAGAAAATATTAATAGAATATTTTTCGAAATATATGTCATAAAATTACATATATCCAGGGAGAACAGGTACTTTGTGACTTCTTAAAAAAAAATTCTTGGGCCGGGCGCGGTGGCTCAAGCCTGTAATCCCAGCACTTTGGGAGGCTGAGGCGGGTGGATCACAAGGTCAAGAGATCAAGACCATCCTGGTCAACAAGGTGAAACCCCGTCTCTACGAAAAATACAAAAAGTTAGCTCGGCATGGTGGCACGTGCCTGTAATCCTAGCTACTCAGGAGGCTGAGGCAGGAGAAATGCCTGAACCCAGGAGGCAGAGGTTGCGGTGAGCTGAGATAGCGCCATTGCACTCCAGCCTGGGTAACAAGAGCGAAACTCTGTCTCAAAAAAAAAAAAAAAAATTTTTTTTGATATTTTTACATTTTTGAGACAACGTCTGGTTCTGTCACCCAGGCTGGAGTGCAATGATGAGACCTGCGCTCACTGGAACCTCTGCCTCCTGGGTTCAAGCAATTCTTCTGCCCCAGCCTCCTGAATAGCTGGGATTACAGGCCTGCATCACCATGCCCAGCTAATTTTTGTATTTTTAGTAGAGATAAGGTTTCACCATGTTGGGCAGGCTGGTCTCAAACTCCTGACCTCAGGTGATCCACCTGCCTCGGCCTCCCAAAGTCTTAGGATTACAGTCACAACCCCGGGTGCCTTGAGGCACTTTGTGACATTACCAAGAGGAGTGTGTCAGATACATTGCAGATCACATACCAAAAAGCCATACGTAAAATCATGAATATTAGTTGGCTGGGCGTGGTGGCTCAAACCTGTTATGCCAGCACTTTAGGAGGCTGAGGCAGGTAGATCATGATGTCAGGAATTCAAGACCAGCCTGCCCAACAAAGCAAAACCCCATCTCTACTGAAAGTACAAAACTTAAGCCTGGCACAGTGGCTCGCACCTGTAATCCCAGCACTTTGGGAGGCTGAGGTGGGTGGATCACATGAGGTTGGGAGTTCGAGACCAGCTTGACCAACATGGAGAAACGCCGTCTCTACTAAAAATACAAAATTAGCTGGGCATGGTGGCACATGCCTGTAATCCCAGCTACTCAGGAAGCTGAGGCAGGAGAATTACTTGAATCTGAGAGGCGGAAGTTGTGCTGAGCTGAGATTGCACCATTGCACTCGGGCCTGGGCAACAAGAGCAAAACATCATCTTTAAAAAAAAAAAAAAAAGAAAAGCCGGGCGCGGTGGCTCAAGCCTGTAATCCCAGCACTTTGGGAGGCTGAGGCGGGTGGATCACGAGGTCGAGAGATCGAGACCAACCTGGTCAACATGGTGAAACCCCGTCTCTACTAAAAATACAAAAAATTAGCTGGGCATGGTGGCACGTGCCTGTAATCCCAGCTACTCAGGAGGCTGAGGCAGGAGAATTGCCTGAACCCAGGAGGCGGAGGTTGCGATGAGCCGAGATTGTGCCATTGCACTCCAGCCTGGGTAACAAGAGCGAAACTCCGTCTCAAAAAAAAAAAAAAAGAAAATGAGGTCGGGCACGGTGGCTCAAGCCTGTAATCCCAGCACTTTGGGAGGCCGAGGTGGGTGGATCACGAGGTCAAGAGATCGAGACCATCCTGGTCAACATGGTAAAACCCCGTCTCTACTAAAGGTGCAAAAAATTAGCTGGGCATGGTGGCGCGTGCCTGTAATCCCAGCTACTCAGGAGGCTGAGGTAGGAGAATTGCCTGAACCCAGAAGGCGGAGGTTGCGGTGAGCCGAGATCGCACCACTGTACTCCAGCCTGGGTAACAACAGCGAAACTCCGTCTCAAAAAACAAAGAAAATGAAAAATACAAAATTTCGCTGCGTGTGGTGGCACACACCTTAAACTCCAGCTACTCAGGAGACTGAGGCGGGAGAAATGCTTGAACCCAGGAGGCAAAGGTGGCAGTGAGCCGAGACCACACCATTGCAATCCAGCCTGAGTGACAGAGTGACACTCTGTCTCAATTAAAAAAAAAAAAATGATTTTGGGCTGGGCAACAGTAGCTCATGCCTATAATCCCAGCACTTTGGGAGGTGGAGTGGATCACAAGGTCAGGAGTTCAAGACCAGACTGGCCAAGATAGTGAAACCCTGTCTCTACTAACAACATAAAAAGTAGCCAGTGTGCTAGGGGGTGCCTATAATCCCAGTGACTCGGGAGGCTGAGACAGAGAACTGCATAAATCCAGGAGAAACAGGCTGCAGTGAGCTGAGATCGTGCCACTGCACTCCATCCTGGGTAACAGAGCAAGACTCTGTCTCAAAAAAGTAAAAAAAATAATTAATATTGTAACCCATGACAAAACCAGCAAGCAAACAGCAAGTACATTTATACAGTCTACAGAATTCTAAACAAGTCCATCTTAAGAAAAAAGCCACAACTTCTTCTTACCACCAGCACACAATATAAAAACTGAAATAACGCCAGGCGCGGTGGCTCACGTCTATAATTCCAACACTTTGGGAGGCCAAGGTGGGCAGATCACAAGATCAAGAGATCGAGACCATCCTGGCCAACATAGTGAAATTCCGTCTCCACTGAAAATACAAAAATTAGCTGGGCGTGGTGGTGCGCGCCTGTTGTCCCAGCTACTCCGGAGGCTGAGGCAGGAGAACTGGCTGAACCCAGGGTGCGGAGGTTGCAGTGAGCCAAGATGGCGCCACTGCAGTCCAGCCTGGTGCTTGGGGATGGAGACTCTGTTTCAAAAAAAAAAAAAAAAATACTGAAATACAGGTTCAGATCACTACTTTCTGAATGAACCCCAGCACACCATCGAAGAAACACATTTTAAACAAACTACTGAAAATCAAAAAGACAACATTATTATTATTATTATTACTTTTTTTTTTTTGAGATGGAGTTTCACTCTTATTACCCAGGCTGGAGTGCAATGGCGCCATCTCGGCTCACCGCAACCTCCGCCTCCCGGGTTCAGGCAATTCTCCTGCCTCAGCCTCCTGAGTAGCCGGGATTACAGGCATGCACCACCATGTCCAGCTAATTTTTTGTATTTTTAGTAGAGATGGGGTTTCACCAAGTTGACCAGGATGGTATCGATCTCCTGACCTCGTGATCCACCCGCCTCAGCCTCCCAAAGTGCTGGGATTACAGGCTTGAGCCACCGCGCTCGGCTATTATTATTATTATTATTATTATTTTTTTTTTTTTTTTGAGACAGAGTTTCGCTCTTGTTACCCAGGCTGGAGTGCAATGGCGCGATCTCGGCTCACCGCAACCTCCGCCTCCTGCGTTCAGGCAATTCTCCTGCCTCAGCCTCCTGAGTAGCTGGGATTACAGGCACGCACCACCATGCCCAGCTAACTTTTTTGTATTTTTAGTAGAGACGGGGTTTCACCTTGTTGACCGGGATGGTCTCGATCTCTTGACCTCGTGATCCACCTGCCTCGGCCTCCCAAAGTCCTGGGATTACGGCCGTGAGCCACCACGCCCAGCCTAAAATCTCTTCCTCTAAGATTAGTAAAGAGACTAAGAAGCCTGCTTTTGCTATTTCTATTCAGCATGTTAGTGGAATCCCGACCAGAGAAATTAGACAAGAAAAAGAAATAAATGCCAAGCCGTGGAAAAAAAAAAATTAAATGCTCTGTGTTCACAGAAGACATCATCTGATATGTGGAAATCACTAGATTCCATGGAAGACTGGGCACAGTGGCTCATGCCTGTAATCCCAGCATTGTGAGAGGCTGTACATGTAAAACATATATAAAGGCCAGGCACGGTGGATCTCACTTGTAATCCCAGCACTTTGGGAGGCCAAGGCAGGTGGATCAACTGAGGTCAGGAGTTTGAGACCAGCCTGACCAACATGGAGAAACCTCGTCTCTACTGAAAACACAAAATTAATTCGGCATGGCAGCGCAGGCTTGTAATCCCAGCTATTTGGGAGGCTGAGGCAGGAGAACAGCTTGAACCCCAGAGGCAAAGGGTGTGGTGAGGCGAGATCCCACCACTGCACTCCACCCCAGACAAGAGTGACTGTCTCAAAAACAAACAAACAAAAAAGCATAATGTATGGGGCAAAATCACAAAAAGAAATATAAAACCAGGAAGAGCCAAGATAGACAAGGGCAGATTCCTCATGTCTGGAGGGACGTTTTCCTCACCCACAGACTCCAGGTTCCTGTAGTTCTCCAACATCACTTCCCGGTATAAAGCCCTCTGTGCAGGGGTCAGGCATTTCCACTCCACCAAAGAGAATTCTATAGCCACATCCCTGAAGGTCAGGCGTCCCTAAAACGAAAAACACATTTCAACAAAACATTATGGAGCAGTGAGTTATCACCTTCACATGAAATGAAAAAAGAGAAATTAAGTATCCGTTTCATCACAGACTCTTCTGACAAAGCCACCTTAAGGTATTTTTTGAACATTTCTTCTCTACTGTTGCATTTTATTTTACTTTCCCATGAAAGATTTTAAGATCCTCAAAGTCACTGTAGAAGTCAGTTTTATGGACAATATAAAAAAATACTCAAACAAAAAGGAAACACACGAACAGGCGGGGTGGCTTACGCGTATAATCCCAACACTTTGGGAAGCCAAGGCGGGCAGATCACTTGAGATCAAGAGTTCAATACCAGCCTGGCACGGTGGCTCCTGCCTGTAATCCCAGCACTTTGGGAGGTAGATGCGGGCAGATCAAAAGGTCAGAAGATTGAGATCAGCCTTGCCAACATGGTGAAACCCTGTCTCTACTAAAAATGCGAATTAGTGGGCTGCGGTGGCAAGTGCCTGTAATCCCTGCTACTTGGAAGGCTGAGGCAGAAGAATCGCTTGAACCCAGGAGGTGGAGGTTGCAGTGAGCTGAGATTGCGCCACTGCACTCCAGCCTGGGTGATAAAGCAAGACTCTGTCTAAAAAAATAAAGAAAGAAATAATTAGCTGCTGCATGTTTCAACACATGCGTATCATTCTAGCTCTTTGGGAGGGTAAAGCGTGGATGCCGTGAGCTAGGAGTTCAAGGCTGCTGTAAACTAGAATTGTGCCATTGTACTCCAGTCCCGGGTCACAGGGCAACACCTTTTCTCTCTCTCTCTTTTTTCTTTTTTTCTTTTCTTTTTTTTTTTTGAGACAGAGTTTTGCTCTTCTTACCCAGGCTGGAGTGCAATGGCGCGATCTCGGCTCACCGCAACCTCCGCCTCCTGGGTTCAAGCAATTCTCCTGCCTCAGCCTCCTGAGTAGCTGGGATTACAGGCACACGCCACCATGCCCAGCTAATTTTTTGTATTTTTAGTAGAGACGGGGTTTCACCATGTTGACCAGGATGGTCTCGACCTCGTGATCCACCTGCCTCGGCCTCCCAAAGTGCTGGGATTACAGGCTTGAGCCACTGCACCTAGCCTTCTTTTTTCTTTTTGAGATGGAGTTGCCCAGGCTGGAGTGCAATGGTACGATCTGGGCTCTCTGCAACCTCCGCCTCCTGGGTTCAAGTGATTCTCCTGCCTCAGCCTCCCGAGTTCCTGGGACTACAGATGTTTGCCACCACGCCCAGCTAATTTTTTTTTAATTTTTAGTAGAGATGGCGTTTCACCATGTTAGCCAGGATGATCTTGAACTGAGGAAGGCATGGGTGAGTGTGAGCCAACGTGTCAGGCAGGACGGTTCAGACTCAGAACAGACTGGCTACTACAATACCTGGCATTTCAGAAAGGAAAGAGACAGATGAATCCACCGAGGAGTGTCACTTTACCTGAGGAAGAGCCATGCCTGGCTCCTTTTCTTGCCTCTTCTGAGCTCCTTCCTCACATAATATGAGTCTTTAGAAATCAATCCTGTATGTGAAAAGAATTTAAGACTTAATGTTAGAAATGACTCACTCCGTTCCTGTGACAAACGCACACACATGGGAAAGACCTCATCTTGTAGAAAGACGGGCCTCTGCTGCCCACTGCACCAGAGATCATGCAGAAAGAAGAAAGACCCTGGCCAGATGTGGTGGCTCACACCTGTAATCCCAGCATTTTGGGAGGTGGAGGAGGGGTGCATCACAAGGTCAGGAGTTCAAGACCAGTCTGGCCAAGATGGTAAAACCCCGTCTCTACTAAAAATACACACAAAAAATTAGCTAGGCATGGTGGTGGGTGCCTATAATCCCAGCTACACAGGAGGCTGAGGCAGAGAATTGCTTGAACCTGGGAGGTGCAGACTGCAGTAAGCCGAGACTGCACCACTGCACTCCAGCCTGGGCAACAGAGTAAGATTCTGTCTCAAAAAATAAAAATAAAAATAGAAAATAGGAGACTACGTGCAGAATTGGCACCTTTAAAAGGGAAGGAAGCCGGGCGCGGTGGCTCACGCCTGTAATCCCAGCACTTTGGGAGGCCGAGGCGGGTGGATCACGAGGTCAGGAGATCGAGACCATCCTGGTCAACATGGTGAAACCCCGTCTCTACTAAAAATGCAAAAAATCAGCTGGGTATGGTGGCGCGTGCCTGTAATCCCAGCTACTCGGGAGGCTGAGGCAGGAGAATTGCCTGAACCCAGGAGGCGGAGGTTGCGGTGAGCCGAGATCGCGCCATTGCACTCCAGCCTGGGTAACAAGAGCGAAACTCCGTCTCAAAAAAAAAAAAAATAAAAAATAAAATAAAAGGGAAGGAAAAGAAGAAAGAACACCTGATCAGCCTTGGACCTCAGGTGGCCGAAGGAGAGCGTGTATTTGGTGTCTGCTATATCTTTGCATCCTTCAATGACACTTTTGTCCATGTCACTCATCTTTCCAGCAGAGAAGCCACCTGCCATGGAATGAAGGTGAAGGCAGACCGAGATGAATCCTTGCCGTATGCTGCTATGTTGGCTTCCCAGGACGCGGCCCAGAAGTGCAAGGAGCTGGGCATCACCGCGCTACACATCAAACTCTGGGCCACAGGAGGAAATAGAACCAAGATCCCTGGACCTGGAGCCCAGTCCGACCTCAGAGCCCTTTCCCGCTCAGGTATGAAGATCGGGCAGATTGAGGACGTTACCCCCATCCTCTCTGCTAGCACCGGCAGGAAGTGGGGGGTCGCTGTGGTCGACATCTTTGAATAAGACTCTTCAACATATTTTCTATTAATAAATTGTCTTCATGTAAAAATAAATAAATGAAATAAAGTTTAAAAAAAAAAAAAAGTCCCGCAGGAATACCTACAAGTGTGTGTTTCACCCTGGTCTTCAGATCTCACTCCCCTCCTGGAGAAGCCCCACACACCAGGCAGCAGTGGGGAGCTGGGCTGAATTGAGCTCCCCTTCAGGGCACAGACCCTGCTCTGACGAAATCCCATTCAGAGCACAGTTCCTCCCCTCTCTGTGGATCACAGGCTCAGCTCAGTCCTCAGAACTGGGGGACACAGAGCCCTGACCCTCAGTGCTGCTCACAGATTACTATCACCTGGGACACTGCCAGTATTACTGCGGGTGGGTTCCATCCCATCAGAATAAGCATCTCTGGTAAAGCAGAAGAATGTTCCATTTGCAAAATGCCTCTGCACTCTAATGTGAAGCCAGGGCTGAGCTCCACTCAGAGGGGTGAGCCCAGCACAGCCACACGTTCTGGCTCTGATCTGCCCTTCGCGCCTTCTTCTGACCAGGATCCAGACAGTGGATGGCAAAGCCACAGCACTAATCTCAAGAACAGGCAGCGTGGACTAGAGGTGGGGTCAAGGTTGGGCTGCGTGAAAAGAAAATAAAACTTGGGGCCCCAAAATCACTAAGCAAAAGGGAAAAGCCAAGCTGGGATCTGCTTAGGAAAGCAGAATCCCCTTGTATTCAAAGCCACCCCTCTGCTCCCTGACACAGACGTGTATCTGACTGCTGTCTTTGGAAAGGCTCATCAGAAACTCAAAGCGAGGACACAGCACAGGGGCTGACACCTGTAATCCCAACATTTTGGAAGGCCCAGGCAGGCAGATCACTTGGCGTCAAGAGATTGAGACCAGCCTGACCAACATGGGAAAACCACGTCTCTACTAAAAATACAAACACCTGGCTGGGTGAGGTGGCTCATGCCTGTAATCCCAGTACACTGGGAGGCCAAGGCTGGCAGGTCGCTTGAGGCCAGGAGTTCGAGACCAGCCTCACCACCATGGAGAAACCCCGTATCTACAAAAAATTCAAAAATTAGCTGCGTGTGGTGGGGCGTGCCTGTAGTCCCAGCTACTCAGAAGGCTGAGGAGGGAGAATCGCTTGAACACGAGAGGCGAAGGTTGCAGCGAGGCAAGACTGTGCAACTGCACTCCAGTCTGGGTGACACAGTCTTAAGAAAAAGGGATCTCTCTATATATATTATTTATTTATAAATAAATAAATAAAGAACTATTAGCCAGGCCTGGTGGGGCATGCCTGTGGTCCCAGCTACTGCGGAGAGAGAGGCTGAGGTGGGAAAACCACTCGAGCCCATGAGGTTGCAGCTGCAGTGAGCTGTGATCCTACCACTGAACTCCCACCTGGGAAACAGTAATAGTGTCTCAAAAAAATAAAAATAAAAGTTAAAGGCCAGGCGCAGTGGCTCACGCCAGTAATCCCAACACTTTGGGAGGCTGAGGCAGGTAGATCACCCGAGGTCAGGAGTTTGAAACCAGCCTGACCAAGACTGAGAAACCCGGTCTCTACCGAAAATACAAAACTAGCCGGGCATGGTGGTGCACGCCTGTAACTCCAGGTACTCAAGAGCTGAGGCGGGAGAATCGCTTGAACCCCTGGGGTGGAGCTTGTGGTGAACCCAGATGTCACCACTGCACTCCAGTCTGGGCAAAACTCTGTCTAAAAACAGAAAGAAAGAAAATTAAAAAATAAAAAACAACTAATGAAATGGGAGGAAGTAGAAAAAAGGAAACTCATTACAAAATGAGAAGAAAGATACTCTTTTTTTTGTTTGTTTGTTTTTCAGATGAGTTTTACTTTTACTGCCAGGCTGGAGTCCAGTGATAGGATCTCGGCTTACAACAACCTCCGCCTCCCGGCTTGAACTGATTCTCGTGCCTCAGCCTCCCGAGTAAGCTGGGATTACAGGTATTGACCACCATGCCAGGCGAAATTTTCTAATTTTAGTAAAGATGGGGTTTCTCCACGTTGGTCAGGCTGTTCTTGAACTCTGTACCTCAGGTGACTCACTCGCCTCGGCCTCCCAAAGTGCTGGGATTACAGGCGGCAGCCACCGCGCCCGACCCAAAAGCACGTTTAACATTCTTTTTTATTAGGTTCTATGCGGTAACAGACTCACCCACTTCTTCCTGTACTTCACTGCCCCACTCCCCACTCCACCCGTGGAAAGGGAAGAGGGTGATACGTGACTAATGAGTCACGTCACTGTCCTCTGGCTGAACACGGGATTCAAAGGGAAGCTAGCCTCCGACGCCATGATTATAAAATGCGCCACACTTAGAGACAGGAGTTTGGCACCTCTCATTCTCATCCGTAAATTTAAACAAAATTAAATTTATTACCTCATAAAGAGAGAAAGCAACATGCCATAAGTTAATCATCACATCCAGTCACCTCGGTGCTCATCTGCACGGAGGGTCCCCCTCGTTTTAATTACTCTTTCCCTCCCTCATTCTGCACCCAGCTCTTTCTCATCTTCTCGCTCCATCTGTTTCCTTCTGCATTTCCCGCTGAGTTTCTGCGTATTTTATGCCCCTCTCCGCTCCTGCTCCATTCTTTTGTTGAGGTGAGTTTTATTCTTCTTGCCCAGGCTGGAGTGCAATGGTGCAATCTCGGCTCATTGCATCCTCTGCCTCTTTGGTTCAAGTGATTCCCCTGCCTCAGCCTTCTAGTAAAAAAATAGCTAGGTGTGGTAGCGCTTGTCTATAATCCCACTACTCAGGAGGCTGAGGGAAGAGAATTGCTTGAATCCGGGAGGTGGAGGTTTTGGTAAGCCACGATTACATCATAGAACTCCAGCCTGGCAAACAAGAGTGAAACTCCGCCTCAAACAAACACACAAACAAAAAAAAGTGCTATGTCGGCCAGGCACAGTGGCTCATCCTTGTAATCGCAGTATTTGCGAGGAAAAAATGAGACGATACGGCCGGCCAGGTGCGATGGCTCTCGCCTATAATCCCAGCACTTTGGGATGCTGAGGTGAGTGGATTATCTGAGGTTCGGATTTTGAGACCAGCCTGACCAACATGGAGAAACACTATCTCTACTAAAACTACAAAATTAACCCGTTGTGGTGGCGGGCCCCTGTAATCACAGCCTACCAGGAGGTTGAGGTTGCAGTGAGCTGAGATGGAGCCATTGCACTCCAGCCTGGGCAACAAGAGCGAAACTCCATCTCAACAAACAGACAGACAAACAGACAAAAACACAGGTGGTTCCTTTGACCCTAGGAGTTTGAGACCAGCCTGGGAAACCTTGTTTCCTTAAAAAAAAAAAAAAAAAAAAAAAAAAAAAAAAGAAAGAAAAAAGAGAAGAAAAGAAATACAAAAACTAGCTGGGCTTGGTGGCTTGCCCCGTGGTCCCAGCTACTCGGGAGGCTGAGGTAGGAGGATGGATTGAGCGTAGGAGGTCGACACAGCAGTTAGAGGAGATGACGCCACTGCACCCACCCTGGGAGTTAGAAGCAGACTGTAGCTCAAAATAATTAATTAAGTAATTTAATTAAAAGTATTATGTAATAACAGAAAGTAATTCTTTTCCCACTTCACTGCCCCACTTCCTACCCCACTCTGGGAAGAAGAGAGTGACTCACAACTGAGTAAGTCACTGCCTCTGGCTGAGTAGGGATTCCAAGTGGAAGCTAACCTCTGACGCCAAGATTTATAAAAGGTACATGTCTCATAGATAGGAATCTCAATAGGAATTCCCAATCTCGTAAAACGAAAATAATAACTTTTAATAACTTAAAACTTATTTAAGTAGGTTACATACACAGAAGTCAACATGTCACAAGTAATCAGATCCAATGAACTCACCCACTCATCTGTACCCAAAGTCCCCACCCATTTTTCCTTCTCAGAGACTAGATCTCACTCTTTTGACGCATGATGATCTTGGCTCATTGCAGCCTGGACCTCCTGAGGTCAAGTAATTCTCCTACCTGGGACTCCAGAGTAACTGAGATTACAGGTGCGCACCAAAACAAGCTTAATTTTCTTTTTTTTCAGAGATGGGGTCCCACTATGTTGTCCAGGCTGGTCTGGAACTCCTGGACTGAAGCATCCCCTTGCCTCAGTCTCCTGAAGTGCGGGGATGACAGGTGGGAGCTACTACGCCCAGTCCTTCTTTCTTCATTACTCTGCTTCCCTCCCTAATTCTGCACATCTCTCTCATTCTCCCCTTCTCTCTCTAGCTCGTTTTCTTTTCTTTTTCCCTGGGATTCTGCTCCTCACTAGTCCCCCTCTCCTCTCCTGCTGTTTATCCTCTTCTCCCTCTATTCCTCCTCTTCTGCCTCTTCTGCTCCGGCCTCACAACTTATTTAACCTCCTATTGCTCCTTCTCCCCAATGGTCCTCAATCTCCATGTATTTCTGCTGCTTGTTCCATCTCTGAACCTCCTCTACCGTCCCTGTTACACCCCCGTCTCCACTCTCTGGCACCCCACATCCCCAGGTGTCCTCCGTGCTGTGCTTCCCTCTGTTCTCCTTGCCACCAGCACCCTCTGCTCTGTCCGCCCCGGCTCCAAACCCCTCCTCGTCTCCCTCACTCTCCTGAGCCTCCCTCTTTGCTGCCCCATCCCTGCCTTGCTGTCCTTCGTCTCTCTGTACATCTCGCTTTTCTCTACATTTCTCCAGTTGCTTTTCTCCTCCTTTCATTTTTCACTTTTGCTGTCTCTTGGCAAATCCCTCACCCATCATCTACTTTGCCATCTGTTATGGGTGTTTCTCATTCCTCTTTTCTCTGTCTCAGGTTTCCTACTGCTGTCTCCTGATCCCGTGGGCCCCCACAATCACAGGAGAGTTTGAAGTAAGTCGCCTACATCCGGACAAGCACATTTTTACAGGGGCCGGAGCTGGGCAGGCAAGGACACCTCGCGTCACAGGACAGGCCCAGGATACCTCCCCAGCTCGGGCTCAGGGGAAGGAGTGACTGCGGAGGGGAGACCAGGGG